CGCTGGTAGGTTGAAGGCAATCGCTATTTGTGTTGGAGGCCATCGCTGGTAGGTTGGAGGCAATCGCTATTTAGGTTGGAGGCCATCGCTAGTAGGGTGGAGGCCATCGCTGTTAGGTTGGAGGCCATCGCTAGTAGGTGCTTGGAGGCCATCGCTATTAGGTTCCTTGGAGTTGTTTCTTAAAAGTTTGGAAACTGAAACGTTGGGTTCGTAATCTCCGGGCTCGGAAACTGGAAACGGTGTGTTCGGAAAGAGGAAGTGCTGGGACTCGGAATCCCGACAGAAATAGTTTCTGGAACACGTTTTTGGAAATACTTCAAGACAAGTCTGTGGATCCGGTGACTGGAGCATTCTTGCTCCTAGTAGCGATGCCAGGAGCCCCTAGTAGCGTCCTTGCTCCTAGTAGTACGGCCAGGAGCCCCTAGTAGCTTCTTGTTACTAAGTTGTCTGAAATACTTTCTTGTGTTTTTCCATCTCCCTGTCCAGGTGCCAGCCATAGGATCCAACCTTATTGCGCCCTACGCGTGTTGCATAGAGGTCCACAGATCCCGCCTAAGACGGGAGGGCGAACAAATCGTTCAGACAGCTTGTGAAAAACACTTAGTCGGTGTCTCAAACTGCCTCTTTGCAGCTGAGGCACTACACCCAAGTTGCTAAAGAGCTGAGGCATCCACTCCCGCACAACGTCCAGACCTGCAAAGGAGACACGACCTTTGTTACTAGAATGGCCTCCAACCTAATCGGGATGGCCTCCAACCTACTCCAACCTACTAGGAATGGCCTCCAACCTAATAGCGATGGCCTCCACCGTAAGTAGCTTCTAGCTACTAGTAGTAATGAAGCACACAGGACAGGGAACGACGTAATACACAAAGCATGCGTTCTTTGCAACCGCTTGTTTCTGGCATTTTGTCGGAAGGAGACTGAAGAAGCTGTCTCTTGTTTGGAGAGCAATATTTAAAGACCTAGGGCCCTAGGGCATTATTGGGAGCCTTGACAAACTGGACTGGACACTGTCTGTCTGACTCTCGTTTTCATCAGATTCTACCAAGGTGCGGTTCAGTGCCTCAACTGCAAAGGCGCGTCCAGGCGGTACATGCATGTTCGTCCAAAAGCCTCAAACACTGCGAGCGACTCAGTCCCTCCGTCTCGTGGTCGTTTTGAAGTTGGAGCAATCATGTACTTTGCGTACTTCCACATTTGGTGCATTTTGGTGCTCATATGACTCACGTACCATTGCACGACTTGTTTCCTTCCAGACTTCTAAATTCCTGTCAACGTTTACAGCAAGTCACCGCTGTCTCACTGCGGGTTGGAAGCGTGCAGTAACCACCTCCGGTTTTCTCTTGGTCCCATCAGGCATCGTCTGGTTGTACGGAGGCCTCAGCTCAATGCCATGCTGTGCCTTGGGGGCATGCTCCGTCACCATGCATCTGAAGACCAAGGTACTGGGCTAAGCTCCAAATGACATCATCCCTATCCTTCAAAGGATGAGGGTCCAATACCTGCGCAAGATCTGTTCAATGAGGGCGTGTTCCGATTCTGTTTGTTCACAACTGGCTAATAACAGATTGAAGACTGCCGGAGCGATCTGAAGATCAACCGGTTAAATGAATGTGTTTCATGGTTTGCATAGTCTTGTTGAAACTCAAGCTCGCATCTCAGTCCAATACAAACACTGCACGCTCTCTGTCGCACTTCAAGTATCAAGAGAGAGAGAGAGAGAGAGAAGAAAGCGCAGCATTTTCCAAAAAAAACTCGGAAATCGACTCTACATGACTCCACAAGCTCCCGCATAGACTGCATATGCGCCTTGAAATTCAGATGCTGGAAAGCAGGTTGGCTATCTAAAGCCCAGGCCTCACTGCACCCGTGCTCTACGCTTTGTTGCGCTTGTTGCTGCGCTCAAAACATTGTGATCTGCTGTGACACGTTTCGTGTTCACTCATCTTCACACGTTTCAACCTCTGCGCTCTCCCCACCTCCCAGGGCTGGTCCTCGATGACTTTCAAATGAACGTTCTCGCAGGACCAAGCGCGATGTCGCTCTTCTCGCAATAGTCTCAGCGGATGCAGTCTGAATGCCTAGACCCTTGCCCTGGAAAATTAGAGAGGCAGCAAGCTCATTGTGAGCACCAGGTCAGTGCGAACTCATCCGTGTTTCAGATGTTTCACCGAAAGCGGAAGCTTTGGGCCGGATCACAAAGGCCGGGTGCGACAGCCGTGCAGTGCAACCTGCTTCGCAAATAGGATGACAGAAAAAAGGCGCTCTTCAGCAGGTCATCAAATCTTCAGGTCACCATGCTCTGGACATCAAGGCCTTGAAAGGCAAGTCGTACTCAGTTTTTGGATGTCAGCGATCCATTGCATCAGCTTCCGCAGTTCTTCGAGAAGACGGGCGACAAACATGATTTGCAAATATTTCAGACGGCCGATTGCTCTTAGGTTGGAGGCCGCTATTAGGTTCCTTTTGCTATTCTTGTCCTGAATTTGAGACGGTTCCTGTCACCAATAGTTCTAAGCTGCGTGGGGGTTCAAACTCAATACAGCCAATACCTCGACCTAAGCCTTTCTGACTTTACACCTACTGAAATCGTTATTTCAGCCTGCTAAAAAATGGAAGGCATCAGGAAGAAGAAAAACGATGCAGTTCAGTAGCAGCCAGAATGCAGAGAGAGAGAGAGAAGCCACACAACTTTGCAACACAAAAGAAAGATCGAAGGAATCAAAGGATAAACAAAACCTTCAAAAATGGGCAAAAGATCAAGACGAGCAAGTTATCAACCAAATTCCATGGAGAAGGGCAGGCAACAGGTCTTCGAGAAGGCATGATGACTGCATCTCATGAAAATGGCCACATCTTCCTCCGTTCAAGTGAGCCACCTTGATAACGTTGTTTTCTCAAATTGTTATCAAATATCTCAAATCTTCTGGACCTCTAGGGACGGCGCTTTCGGAGGCGTTCTTTGCTGCAGGACGTCGTATCAGCAAGAATCACACCAGCCACCACGAGTCCCAGGCGCAGCATGGCAACTAAAGCACTAGCAACGTTTGCTAGTAGATGCTAGCAGCTCTACTAGCACTATCTAGCATTGATTACTACTTCTTGAAAGTTTACTTTAGATGTCAATACTGTTTAACACATCAGTCACCCGGAAGACTTCACATGGTCTGGTGCCCTGAGCACCGGAGAACAAACTTGCTTCGTTGTGTCTTTTCTATCTTTTGGGAGGGTAGGCTGCTAGAGGTAAGTAGTAGCTAGGGAGCGATGGTCTCCAACCTAAGAGGATACAATTGGACCAGAAACAAAACTCGGGTTTTCATGTTTAATTCCAAGTAGGCTGTTCCCTCTACAGCAAGGGAGAGAGAGGATGTGGCTATAGGCTATAGGTAGGGTTGAACGGTTTGTTCTGAGTTTAGGTGAGTTGCTGATGTCTCTGTCTTGGTTTCAACGTGGATCACTTGTGGAGTATATTTACCAATATGTGGCGCTACAAGGCCTATCTCACGATGTCACAGCCAGCTTCTGCATTGAACATTGATATGAAGTGGTCTTTGGCTTCAAAGTGTGAGCTATCGGACGCTACTATGGGCTCCTGGCATCGCTACCAGGAACAAGGGCCTTACTACTAGGAACAAGCTAGTAGAAACAATACATGGAATTTAATTAGAATCTAATTTAGCAGAGAAAGTCTTTGGCTTCAAAGTGAGAAGACTCCAAATCACTTTGTGAACAAACACTGAGACGACTGGAAGTCGAAGCGGGCTTTTTCAGAAGGCCGAAGGCGAGATGATGCCTGTTTGGGCAAGTCATCCACCTGTGCAAACATCGTCATGCTGGACAATCCATCGCCAGGTCAAGTTGATGCGAGGCTCCTTGGACAGGACTTAGAAGACAAACGTTGCAAGAAGCACAACCTCAACGCATCGTGACAAAATTTTACGCATCCTTTCTCCTTTTGGGCATCCAGGCCACGACATCCTCCTCTGGAGGAACACGATGCCGATAGTGCTTCTGACCTTGGACTCGATTCGTCTGAGTTGCTTCTGGGTGGAAGTAGCAAGGACGCTACTAGGGGCTCCTGGCATCGCTACTAGGAACAAGGCTCGCTACTAGTAACAAAGGGCATCGCTACTAGGAGCAAGGACGCTACTAGGCCAGAAGCGTCTTCCATTTCTGCTTAGCCCACGGGGGGAGTAGGCCATAGAGGCAGCTATTATTAGCTTAAGAAGTTGCTACCTACTGGAGGCGAGATAGCTCGTGCTATTCATTTGGTTCCTATTTGTTTAGAAAAACATATGCCAACCTTTCTTCCTGTCGCGTTTCTCCTGTAAAACTATCATTGTTGCACAACGGCCACCATGGCAGGGCGGTGTCGGGTGGCAAAGCAGCAAAGCCATACGTAAAATCACTCAGTGAGAGACAAAGGCCTTCCATGGTGCAAAGATCACCATCCTGCCATTCAAAGCAAGAAAATACAACCGCAACTTGTAAAACTATAAACCTGACAATTCACCTGGAAAGCCTCCATTCAAAATGCAGAAATCTTCACATAATGGTAATGTATTGTCACTGGGGCACCGAATGTTTTCTTGTAAAACATGGTCATTGTGGCCCGGCAGGGTCATCAAGCTGCCATTACCCACACACACCAACGTCGCTCAGTGGGCTGAAACATTTGGGAGTTGCTAGAAGTCGCTCAAGGGCCGATGGCGGCCAAAAGGAAGTTGCATTAGAAGCTGTGAATATATGTTTAAAAGCATTTTTTGTCTTCAAACCTAAAGGGAAACAAAGAAAGAAACGAGGAAAAAGAAAGGTCAAACATCTAAAGAGAAGAGAATAGGAAAAATCATAATGTGTGTATATAAAGAGAACAAACCAAAAAACCCGTCGCTGCTTTGCTTGTGACTGCTTATCTTAGCCGTCTTTGTCTGCCTTCAAGACTTGTGACACAGAGTCTGTGGATTTGGCTTTGCTTTGGATTAAATTCTGTGGTGAAGCAAGAGGGTACATCGAATTACGTGTTTCCTTGGCAGTAATTGTGGGCGTCCACTAAGAAATAAAGATGAATATGACATCACACATGACATGACGAATGGAATCATGAAGAATGTCCTCCAAAAGCACCAAGGTCTCTTCAAATGGATCGTCTTTTGGGCGGAGCTGGAAAGACCTGCGAATTTGGAACGATAGCAACAGAAAATAAAGGAATGGATGGATGGATGGAAGGAAAGGCCTAAAAGGTCTAAAGAGAATGGAAACACAAAGAAAGTAGGCAAAAACACTGATCTAAAGGTCTAAAGATAAACACTGTTTCAAGAATGAAAAGAGAAAGAGTGCCAAGAAAAGAAAGAAAGGAAGGGGTCCAGGTAGGTCCTCGTTGCACCCAGCGACAGAGATACAATGAGGGCATCGCGGCCTGCAATCTCGAGAGATGGCCGTCAAAAGGTCTTCTCTTCAAACTGAGGAAGATGATAGATCTTTTCTGTTCATGTTGTTTTCCTTCTTTTTTAGACTTTTAGGGTTTTTCTGTTTTATATTTTTCAGATATTTGTCTTTTCTTATTGTACTCAGTAATCATGCTCTGACCGAAAGTGATGCTCAAAACCTGTTGCGTCAAAGAGCGGCTCGTCATCACAGTGCCAGCTGACCTAAAATCTGCCAAGCATTTGACACAAGCGCACAGCAGCGCCCACCCATAACTCATAGGATACTCATGCCGGAACCCGGTAGGTGACTGAGGTTACTGCGTTGTCTGCACCAGTCTGATAGAGATTGGCGTTGCAGGAATTGGGACGCTCCTGGACATGAAGCCGTGGGGCTCTTTGCGAACATAAGGATGACCACAGGCTGTTGAATCTGAAAATTTCCAGCAGCCTTCAAGCCGCATGCGCGGCTGACCTGCACGTTTTCTGAGCTCTCTTGCTTGCCAAAGCTATGCAGCTGTTGTCAAACTGCATACCCGTAGAATTTAGTTGCTCAAAGATTGCAACAATATGACATAGTTCCATCTTGCTCTTCGTCTCTCTCTCTCTCTCTCTTTCTCTCTCTCTCTCTCTCTCTTTCTTTCTTTCTTTCTTTCGTTCTTTCTTTCTTTCTTTTTTTTCTTTCTTTCTTTCTTTCTTTTCCTTTCCTTTCCTTTCCTTTCCTTTTCTTTTCTTTTCTTTTCTTTTCTTTTCTTTTCTTTCTCTCTCTCTCTCTCGTAAAGTTTGAAGTATTGTTGAACTGTTTGCTTAAATGTTCGCGTTTTTTGTTTGTATGTTGAATGTGCTCAAGGGCCCTAGTGTTGAGCTACAATGTTGAGGTATCTCCCTCAATGTTGGGAACAGTGTCATGTTGAATTTCACACCGTCCGTCAGATCAATCTCGTGTTGAGACAGCAATCTGGCAAAAACTGACACTGTTGAGTCATCTAGTGACTTACGCACCCGTTGACTCCAGTGTTGACCCTTCGTTGAAAGGCTCAGAGGTTGTTCACAGTGATCGAGCCAGTGTTGATGTCCGGGTTGACGTTAAGTGGGCTGCGCATGTTGGTGTCCTCTTCTCTGACCTCCATGCGTTGAAATCGGGAATGTGGCCTCATAGACCTGACATGTTCCCGTCATCGGAGTGAGTTGAACCACAGCCATGTTACCGAGGTTGAAGGCAAAGTTGACGCTTCTGGCTGTTGAGCTCTGAACGAAAGGGCGGCAAAAACGTTGAATTCAAAGCGCCTTTCGAAATCACACGTTGAGACTGAAAAGTGTTGACGTGCATGAAAACCATGTTGGAGCGATCGATCGGCAAAAAGTGTCGAAACCAAAGGAGAGATCGTGTAATCGATGGACTTCGTCTCTGTTGAGAGAACGGCATCGAACCGAACCATGGCGTCGAAATTCTAAATGTGCACTGTCTACGTGTGTCTTCGCACTGCTCACGCTGTACACGCACGCGCACGTGACTATCATTTGCATCTCTTGTTGAGACACATTTGCTTGAAACCCATTGCTCGACCTCCATGTTGGAAGTCATGCTGCATGCATGTTTGCTGACTGCTTGATCTTCATGTTGAAGATTGCTGCTGTGAAACCGCTAGCTTCTCCATTGTGTGAGTTGTTGTTTCCGTCAATGAGTCAATGAGACCGATGGCTTGCAGATGCCTCCTGAATGTTTCAGGAGTCACATGCTTGGTGAAGACGTCTGCTCTGTTGTCATTGCTCCTTATCTTCGCGACTGAAATGATGTTGGCCTGAACGAGTTGTTGCACGAAGAGATACTTGATCTGGATGTGTTTTGCCAACGCGTGTTGCAATGGACTTTCCTGCTGATGAGTCAGTGAGAATGCAGATGTTGATCTTGAGGTTGCAGTGTAGTTCCTTGAGGAAATAGCTGAGGTGTAGTGATTCAATTGTTCCTGTTCCGATCGCGTAGAGTTCACTCTCTGCGCTACATATGCATCAAAGAAGAAGAAGAAGAAGAACAAGAACAAGAACAAGAACAAGAAGAAGCTGTTGAATCTGCTTGAAGATCTTGTTGCTGGTCTCGTGTGGACCCAGGAAGAAAAGGTCGTCTACGTAAACCATCAAGAACGCTGTTGTTGAGCGAGTGTTGCCTGGTGTCTTGAAGACGTTGGTTCTGTTCTGAGGTGCTCCAGCTTCAACACATTGTCACATGTTGAAGGATGTCTGCGAGATGATCCTGCCAGGCCTTTCTCCATAAAGGGCCTTGTTCAATCTCGAGAGTATGCGGTCTGCAGCATGGTAGAACTCTGTTGGTGGATACACGTGTAATGCTGTTGTCACTGCTGCAGCTGCGTGTAGAAAGGCTGCGCTGGCGTCACCTGTTGCGATGCTCCATCGGAATGTGAGCGCTAGTGCCAGAAGCCATCTGAGCACTGCAAACACCGGTGTTGAGGCATAGATGTCATCGGCATCGTTGACGCGCTCTGTGAAGCCTTTGGCGACGATGCGACATCGAACGTCATCGGCTTTTTTC